TTAAGGGGGACCAAGCAATCAAAACTTTCAAGCAAGCAAACAATTCTCTGTACTGGTGTCTCTTCCCCTCAACACCGTCTTGTTTTTTGTAATAGCTTTCATTCAATGCAATCAAACTTTCTTTCATTCTCAATTCTCTTTTCTGCTATCTTTCAATTGCTCATGACATTGGTTTTCCTGTACGGCACTGACAATCTAGTCTAGCGTACGGAGGGGACCTCAGTTGGCGGATAGCAACTGTACTGACATTGGTTGCCTAGCCTTACGTCGCCCTTCCAAGGAACTTCAGGAAGGCGCCGCATAACATTACTATTGAACTGAGTTGTTACCTTTCATTTTTCTTCAATAATCGAAACACCAATATGAAAAGATTCCTTCTCGGACTATATTTTGATCTCTGACATCTTTCTAAGGGCTGTTGGGGGATTCCCTGTCTAACTAAAGAAGAAGCCTAATTTATTTAAAATTTGACAGATTACATGACTGATATAACTAAGGAAAGATTAAAATAGATTTAACCCAAATTGACCCGTCTAAGGTTTGGACTAAAATGGATTGAAAGAAACCTAGCAAGCTGATTATTAACCAGCTATTTTGAAGGTCTAAATCAGAAGTAATCAATAAAATTTTCAGTTTTCCTGTTAAAAATAAACTAAAAGAAAGAGAAAAAAGTTAACATAATTTCTTTTTTGATAATCGTGGTATCCGAGCCAACTTGCACGCACCTCAACTAATTTCAGGAGACTCATCCGCAACAGGTACCAGGTAACTCTATATCAAGGATTGAACAGATTGAAAGAAATCACAGCTGCTAATATTTTTGTGTCCGTTGAAATTCAAAGCCGAAACTTCCGGCTATCAACCTACTTTATTGACCACGCACCTTATGCAAAAAGTCAACATATAAAAAGTATTAGTATTAGTTATACGGTAGAATATTTAATTTTTTATTTTACATTATCACTGTAATTTAATATATAGTGTATATATAATTTAAAAACACTAAACAATGCTTTCTAATCAATAGTGATTGTAAACCACTCTTCAATAAAGATTTTCTTATTAACCTCAACAATGAAGCTGACCCGTTTCTTACCCGCTAATCTTGACCCGCCCCAGTTCTTCTTAACTCACCATATCAAACCCCAGTGCCGGAATCAAATTTTGCAGGAAAAACTAAAAAATGGTGAGATTCGGAAGAATACTTCTAAAAGATGGAACCGTCGGGATTAACAAAACACTATTAGAATATCTGGTCTGTCCACTTTCAAAACAACCTTTAAGGTAAGTTCCCATAATTTTTACTTATTGGAAATTATTTTTCTTTTTCTGAACTCAGAATGTGTTTAGTAGTTTTTTATTTTAACTCTGTTGAAGGCTTTGTGAGAAGACGAATTCTCTAATCAGTGATGCCATTGGTGTTTCTTATCCGGTGAGTGATTTGTGTTGCATTGAATTACTAAATTGTTTTTGATAATTGAATTTCATTTCCTCTGTGTCCTATTGTTTACTCTTAATATTAAGGGCAGCCTGGTGCACAAAGCATCCTGCATTCACGCAGGGTCCGGGTAAAGGGCCGCACACCATGCGGCGTGATGTAGACAGCCTACCCTAATGAAACATTAGTGGCTGATTCTAGTGCTCGAACCCGTGACCTATAGGTCACATGGAGACAACTTTATTGTTGCTCCTAGGCTCCTAAATTACTGAAAATATTCTGTCAACGAGTGCAATTTTGTACAATCTTGGCTATTATTATTGTTCCCCAAGCTCGGAAATCGGAGGATAAATTAGAGTAAATACTTACTCACAGGCGGCAACCAATGTTTACACCAAACCAAACAATATAACCTTACTAGTATCAATTAACCATAATATGTGATGTTTATGTGTGTGAAAGACATAAGTCCTGCATTTACTGATTTGGTGTAAACAACATGTGTGGTTAAGTTTTCACCATTAAATTAGCTGGGATCCTCTACGTAAATAATTTTTATCCATGTTCACAGCTTCGTTATAGTTAGACTATCTTTAGTTCTTTACCATACTGCAATCTTCCTCCTTTATCTAGTCTGGGCGCTAGCTATGCTTTGCGAAACTTTCTTAGGCAGGTTACTATGATGTATAATCGATCAATATATCTTTTACAACAACTACGCCTCTATCCCAAACTAGTTGGCGTCGGCTATATGAATCCTTATTGTCCATGTTTCTCCATTTAATCAATATATTAATTTTGAGAATAATTTTATTCCTTGCCCATTCCTACTGTTTAATCAATGTCTGAGTATGTTTGCCTAAACTATTTTGAACAACTAGGAAAGAGAAGAAAAGAAGGGAAAAAAATTATGTTATCTAATTGGGAAAGAAACCTGATAAAGACAATTTCTACGGCAAAGCAAATGAAAAGAAACACATTTGTAAGGAAGGTGAGGGGTTAGGATAGGGATGGCTGGAGTGTAGACAATGAAATCAAACTGCTTTATAAAAAGTCCAGGAAAGGGAATGAGTAATATTTAATTGTTTAATTATTCAAAAGGAAAGATAACTTTAAGAGTTTGGAAATCTGAGGAAATTACGTGCCTTCACTTTCAGTAGAAAGTTATTTCCAGTCAAATCAGTGAAAAATATTGATTTGAGAACATTTTCCTCAAGATATAATCCGTACAAACAAAGAAAATTAAGAGGACACTTATGTCATATCAACTGGAGCTTTTGTATTTGACTTCACGCTTTACATTTTGTTGTTAGTCAAGTTTGTCATTTGCTTATGTTTCTTCCTTGTGTTTAATTAGATAGTCGATGGGGTCCCTCGTCTTGTACCAACAGATGGCAAGATTATTGAGACTGATGATGCATTGAATTCTAATGGTGCTGGTGATCTGCCTAATAAAAAAACATGATGATCAAAGAGGTAGTTCTTAAGACTATCCACTGACAAACATCGAGGGAGCTCATTATCTGATGGAAGATGTTCGAAAAGATTATGTGAGTTTACTCAGTTGTACCTCTTTATTATGTCAACCTTTTCTTGACTGCAGTTCTAGTTGTAGCGATCTGTACTTATCAATGAGACTAATAAGAAGTGCTTCTCCTTGATTAGTAATACCTAGAAGAGGCTAATTTCTATTTTTTTCCCAAGCTTTATCTCATTACCAAATTTCAAATATCTCTTTTCATGAGGTCGTTTGTGCAAATCATTTTTTGCATTGCAAGAGCCAAGAGGTTCTGTTTTTCATAAGCATCTGAAACATAGGACTAATAAAACCTCGTGGTTTATATGTTTTGATGAATGCTGTTAGCATTGAGTTCATGAATTGTCTTGGCATTTGGAACACAGGGCATAAACTTCAGTTTACTGTCATTAGGTTCTTTTTAAAATTAATAAGCATAATATCAGTGTTTTCTAGAGCTCACATATTAATCGTTGACTGGTTATACGTGTGCACTCTGGAACATAATTGAGGTTGCTTGAGTATTGGCCTTAGAATACTTATAGAAGGAGCAATTGTTGACACTACCCGTTATTTTCATATGTGCATCTTCCTGTTAGCATTTTATCTAGAATTCAAGAGGCTGCATCCAAGCCTTTCAAATTTCCGTGTACTTTGACATAGGGATAGTAGATATAACGCAGAGAATGAATACGTGTTGCCGTTAGTGCTGTTATCAAGTGAAATCTAAAAGGAATATGTGTTGCCGTTAAAGTGCTGCTTATCAAGTGAAATCAGTAGATTTGGTGTTGCAACTCTAAAACCTTGAGAGAATTTTGTCCTTCAAATCTTGAAGTGGCAGTTAAAGATGCAAATTGCGTTGGTAGTTGATTATGCAGTATGTATTAGGACTATCATACTTTATGCATCCCCTACATGGTTACATCTCAACTCTTCCTATATATTGACTACATAGGACTCCTTCCAGAACATATATTATCTGCAAACAAAAGTATATTGCTTTTGTGAAACAATTGGAAACAACGTTTTGAGGAAAGGAAATAATGCTGCTAGATTCCAGTTTTTGTACAACAAAAAGACTCTTTCTGACTCTTTCTACTGCCTATGAACGAGAGTACAAACATCTTTTGAACCGTGTCACTCTTACGCTTCATCCTCCATTTCTTTGAATCTTGATGTTGTTCACTTAACGTAAGCTCATAATTTTTTATTACTAATCAAGTTTGTATTTGAAAGGTGTGTGAAAATAAAAGAAATTTATTAACAAATACTGATTACAAAACGATACTGTAGTATGGTCAATGAGTTCAAATCTCAGTAGAGACAAAAAAGTTAGGTGATTTCTTCTGATCTGCCTAAACATTGCTGGACGGAGTTACTTGGTACCTCTGCTGGTGGGAAGTAACAGATACCAGGCGTACTAGTTGAGGTTTGAGCAAATTGGTCAGGATGCCATTGTTGTAAATTATAAATAAAAAAAAAGGGCAGCCCGGTGCACTAAGCTCCCGCTATGCGCGGGGTCCGGGGAAGGGCCGGACCACAAGGGTCTATTGTACGCAGCCTTACCCTGCATTTCTGCAAGAGGCTATTTCCACGGCTTGAACCCGTTACCTCCTGTTCACACGGCAACAACTTTACCAATTACTCCAAGGCTCCCCTTCATTGTTGTAAATTAAAATAAAAAAGAAAAAGAGATTGTAGTACGGGAAAATGGTGTGTTTTTGACACTTCGAAGTTTCTATTCGACCAATTAAACAGAGGTCACTATAATACAGGGGTAAAGAGATGCTTCATGAAGAAATAATAATCAAATAATAGCTAAAAGTGGAAAACATAGTCATCACTAGCATGCAAAAGAAGGAATTCAACTGTGTTCCATGGTTTCCTGTAAGTGTAGATGATGGAAAAGCTGGAGTTGTCCTAGCAGTGCCATTTCTGTTTCCTCTGGTGGCCTCAGGCCCCACATTGGTAGGAATAGACGCTTCAGTAGGCTTTTGCTTGTTGATTGGCAGAGTAGTACTTTTGGATTCTTTAGAATCATAACCTGAAAAAGGAACTTGAACTGTTTTTGGAAATCGCCTTCTGTTTAAGGTTGAGTATATATCTTATGTTAAAGGTGGGATATAAACTCACAATCAGATGGCTTCCAGCCCAAAACCATCTTTTCCCGATCAAACACCATCAGGTAGGCAGTCATAACATTTTCTGCAAAGGGGTCCTTGTATTACTGTTATTTCTTTCATTTTGTATATAGATGAAAACAAAAACTTAAAATCTTCTTACCACTTGGTATTGGTAAGATCTTTAGTTCCTTAATTGCAGAAATAAACAGAATTACTAGTTAATAGATACTCACGTCCAATGATGTTGACATCCCCACTTTTGACAACAGCTAAACAATATGCCTTGGATCCGTCCTGAGGATTAAGGAGGTAATTAGAAAATTATAATAGAGAATACTCTAACCTACTAAGAGCAGATACCATCTTACCGGAAATGACAATGTTATGATTGGATCAAAAAGATAAAACTGGTCGCCATCTTTCATTATCAAATTTACATCAGGATTTCCAAAGGTAGTCTGATTTGCACTGTATAGACAGTGTTAAGTTCTGAGAGTTTATAAGGAATTAACTGAAAGAATACAAACAAAGATTATAGAGGCTGGTTTAACCTTACGCCATAACAGTACTCAAAAGGAAGATGGGCGGTAGGTTGAATACGTTGCTCTTGTGCCTGAGAATTAAACTGCCAAATATACCAAATATTTTTAGTTGTCAAATATTCACAACAAAGTCTCCAACTAGTGATCATACATCCAACTCCTGGCCGGAGACGGATCTAGTGTTTGAACTTGATGTATTCAACCTTTAAAGTTCTTACTTCAACTTATTGTACTTTTGAATTATGGGTTCAGAATTTAATATTTATTGAAATTTTAGTGGTTTTTCACATATATATATATATATATATATATATATATATATATATCTGCCTTTTCTCCGGACTCACATTCTCTGTAATGACTCTGTAAGGTGGATCATTTAAGTATGTGAATGAGGTACCAGTGTCAAATATGGCTGTGAAATCTACATCAATGTTCTTAGTTCCCACAGTTATTCCTGTGAAGCTAATATTATAAGTTTGGCTGCATCCAGAGAGAGAAGAGGAAGGAAACACATATTTAGTTTGAATTCCCACATCATATATAATCAAGCTTGAAACAGGAATCAAAATGCTGAACCCTGTGAATCAAGGTGAATGCTTACTGTGGTTGTTCAAGATTGAATGGTGTTTCTCCTTGGCCTGGACTCCCTTTGTCTCCAAAATCTATTCTTCCAATACCATCAGCCCCAAAGCACATGGAAAAAGAATTTGCAGCAAAACCTTTGCTGGCCAAAATGCTAGGAACAGATATACTGTCCATACCAAGTCCAAATAGACCATTGGGAGCAGCACCATTCAAGAATGCACCAGTTTGTTTTATCCCACACCTGAAATAGAACTACTAGTAAATATAGATTGTAGTGGACTAGAAAATGCATTGTGTAATGCAAGAACGCCTTTGGCATCCTGGATCGGCCATTGAACTGTATTCAGTAAGTGGAACGCATTAGCTCTCTCCGCTTTTAGGTTGGGCAGTCAATAAGTGAATTTGACTACATTTTCTCTCACACCATCTAGTGTGCAGTTATTAACCTTGGGGTCGTGTGGTTTGAAAACAAGTTATTATGGGATTAGTTTTGGTGATATTAGTTATTCTGGTATTACTCCCTCCGTTTCAAAAAAATTGTCTTAATTTGACTTGGTGCAAATTTTAATAAAGAAAGGAAGACTTTGGAGATATATGGTATTAAATAAGCCATCACATTTCTGTGGCTATAAAACTTTTGAAACTTGTGGTCTAAAACCTGTCATAACATTTATGTGGCTATAAATGCTTCTTATTAAGGAAATATTGAAAGATGTCAATCTTTTTGAAACAGACTAATAAGGAAATAGTGACAATCTTTTTGAAACAGAGGGAAGTTTGGTATGTTATATTAATCCTGGGGTTGTCAATTTTACTGTTTTATCCTAGGATAACTTATCCTGGTATTACTTTTCCATTCTCTGGCAGGTATAAATTATCCCGGTATTATTTTTAATCCTGGGGTAACTTATCCTGGGATTACTATTTCACCCTCTGGTATAAGTTATCCCGATACTATTTTTATTCCTTGGATAACTTATCCCAGGATTAGTAACCAAACAAGGGATAATGCGGTACTAAATTTTTATTCCAGGATTATTTTTGCTTATCCATCCTACCAAACGACCCCTTAATATCTTCAAAAGAGAAACAAGAAGTAATCACACTCACCCCAGTGTAATTGGTGCCTCTACACTTTTTTGTTGAGTATTATCTGTTTGTAAGTGCAAGATGTCTTCTACCAATACTCCTGAAGATGAGGTATTATTGGAGAAATATGCAACTACATAATCACATGCACTATGTGCCGCTGAACATTGTCTTCCTTGTCCACACAGAGTGTTGTTGCGGGGAACAATATTGCTTGTCGAGGATGTATTAAGGTTGTAAATGTTGAGATCTATACGCTGTTTCAAAAGTAGGGACAGTAAAACAAGTGTCTTTTAGTTATCCATATCCGTCACTGGAAACGCAATTTAACTGTTTCAAAGTAATATGCAAGAAGGGTAGCCTTGAAGCAACGGTAAAATTGTCTGTGTGTGACATAGGTCACTGGTTCGAGCTGTGGAAGCAGTCACTAATGCTTGCATTAGGGTAGGTTGCTTACATCACTCCCCTGTCCTTCTCCGGACTCTGCGTGAATGCGGGATGCCTTGTGCACGGGACTGCCCTAAAGTAATAAATATGCAAATTACACATACACTTCCAGAACCCGTCACAAGTGAACGGGCACAGCTGCTGCAGTTACATGGTAGCCAAAATAAGTCACTGCCAGTGTCAAGTGCCACCAGAAATGGTTGCCCGGGTGTACCCGCTGTCACATTTGCATAATGCAAACTGAAAATCACCAAACACATTTAGTTAGTCCTAGTAAAGGAAGAACATGAGAAGAACTGCAAAAGAAGGAACCTACAATCCCAGAGAACTGAGTAGAACAGTTTTGTTTCCCCCTCTGGCGAACGTGACTGACACCGGAGTAGGATCACCGGTGTCAGCTAGCCGGTGATCACGCTGAGTCCAAGCTGAATAATACTCAATACTACCTTTTTGGGGCAATCTTTGAGGGTCCAGAATACCTTTCACTGGATCAGAATACCTGTGGTGGATATCAAACCCGAATGTCCCAAACGCTTCACTATTATGCAACTGTAAAGCTAAAACCATCAGCACGATAACCCGCACCGTGAAGGTACTAGTACAACAAGAATTATCCATTGAAATAACGAGAAAAAGTAACCTAACGGCTCAGGCTCAAATGTGAAGGTATAGTTTACGCAGTTTTGTCTTAATCTGAAAGACGTCTCAATGGTTGAATTCCTGATCTCGCCTTAACTTTCTCTTCCCATTCTTCATAGCAAACTCTTTCAAGTTCAACCACCAGCAGTCCGGGAAAAGAACTCCCCAAAATATTCTCAATGGAACAGTGATACAAAAATGAACAAAAAACAGTGCGGTACAATACATAGTCCATATATATGTATGTTTAGGAAGGGAGAGAAAAAGGGTAGAACCAAGAATCAAAAGGGTGTGTGATAATTAAAGATATGAATAGAAAATTTTGGGTTGACGAATTCGAAACTGGAGGAGGTGGAAAGTGAGTCCACCAACTGAAGCTTTACTACAAGTTGTAGTAGTTTATTGTCAAATGGGGAATGACAGAATGATAGAGGGAAAAAAAATGTTCAAGTCTTTGTGAAAGCAAGGATGTTTGGACAATTACCTAGTACTGATTGGGGAAGGTATTGTGGATTCCATGTTTTGGGTTCACACATAATGGGGCCCAAGGTTTAATGTTGTTGGTGGATATGAAGTGCAAAGAATTTGGAGGGTACTGGCAGAAGCAAAGTCAGGTTTTGAAGCTTACATGTTTGGGATTCTTACTTTATTTAAGTTATTGGGTTCTAAGTTAATAATTTGTATATATTCAATAATTTTTTAAGATAAATACAAAATTTGGACCAAAGCTACTAGATTTGCTCGAATCCCTATTCTGCATTTTAACTCCGCCCTAGGTACTTGCACTACCTACCAGAAGATCCGATACTGCAGTTTCTACTCCATTCATGATTTCTCCTGTTTTGTTTTGTGAAAAGTATTTGCATGGTATCTTTTATATGCTCAATAAGAATAAACGAATTCAAGGTCTAAGTTTGTAAGTAGGAGGTGCAATTGTGTTTACCAAGTACAATGTAAGTTTGTATTTTCTACTTACAAAGTAGTAAAAATAATGAAAGTATGCACTAGGGGTGGCAAACGAGCGGGTCGGATATGAGACGGGTCGAAAACGGATAATAAAAAAACGGATAAATTATCCGACCTGACCCATATTTAATACGGATAAAAAATAGGTTAACCGGCGGATAACATGGGTAACCATATTATCCATGGTTTCATGAATATGATCACTTTTGGGAGAATTCAAAGTCTCCCAATTTGAGGTTTTACAAATGTAAAAGTTAAACCCATGAGTTATCCATTGGTTATTCATTTCTAAATGGATAATATGGTTCTTATTCATATTTGACCCGTTTTTAAAAAGTTCATTATCCAACTCATTTTTAGTGGATAATATGGGTGGTTAACTATTTTTTTTAACCATTTTGCCACCCCTAGACTATGCACTCACTAACTTAAATAATGGAGGAAAAAAGCTCGAGAAGGAATACCAAAACTTATTTCATTCGATAAGTCTTTTTGCATTCATGGTTAAATAGCAAAATCACCCAACCCGTAGGTTTGATTCCTACCGATTGTTTTTATAGGATCGAAAAATGATATACATGAGAGTTAGTGTGACCTTGGCTTAAAAGATTGGTTAAAAAAGCTCATTTTGTTAGCCAAGACCTTTTGTTGAACTAAACAAAATGGAATAGATTAGCCTCCACAAGTTTTGAGTTCGTAAGAAGTGATGAACAACCTTAATTTATATGTTGCTATTGAGCTACCAAATACCTATCTTGTTAGGCGAATTTAGGATTTCTACAATATGGGTATACCTAACGAAAAGAGATAAGAAAGTATTAAGCAAGAATTTATCTCTGTTCCTCTAAGTAAGTAACTCGGTATTCAACCAAATGCAATATTTAATTTTTTGGAGCATGAGGGCCATTAGATAATATTAGATCAATTCTAAAAAATGCGTACATAAAACACCTAGTTTGATAGAGAGATCATGGGTTCACGTGCTCTATTTTTTAAACAGTAAATCCGCCCAACATGCCAACAATACTGACGCAAAAGAGTCTTTTCTTCCTAAATTTACATTTATCTTTGATGTCAGTGGTAGAGCCACATGTATTTAAGGAGTGTTAATTGATACTCCTTTTCGAATATTTCATTATGTAGCTAGATAAACTTTTTTTTATGTATAAATATTATATTTATTTTTCTTGGTTTCTTTGTGGGTTTAAAAAATATTTTGACATTCTTTGATAAAAATTCTAGCTCTGTCATTATTTTGCCGCAAGTGAAATTGAAAATGAAAACGGGTTGAGGCAGAAAAGTGGGAGACGACTTGATCACATGTTGCTGATTTCTTTCGATTTCTCTTTCTTTCCTTTAAGTTGAGAGGCACGGGTAGTTTCTGGTGTACAAAAAGAATTAAAATTTTAGTCAATCTTCCAAATGTATACCAAACATCTTATATCGAGTCAATATCATATTTTCATATCCTATCTTCTTTTAATTATTAAGTATTTGTTCCCCTCCTCTTTCATTCCCTTAAAGAAGTATAAACTACCAAAATGACAATTTAAGTCAAAGCTATCTAATTAGAGGCAGAAATACTGAACTTTCTTTTGCCAAATATTTGAATCAATCGGTAAAATTAGTTGTCATTAATTTCAACCAGCGAAGCCAGGAAATTTAATAAGGGTGTTCAAATTCTTTGCCAGTGAACTATGCAAGGGTGTTCAAAGTCTATTTTTAATCAATAACAAGTAATATTTTACCTTATATGTAGTACTTATAATTTTTCGGCGAATGGTGATCAGTTGACCACCCTTGGGCCAACAAAGCTTTGCCACTGATTTCAACATATATACCACTGGTAATGTGCAGGGGTGGAGTTATCATTAGTGAAGAGGGTTTAATTAAATTTTATAAAAAAAAATTATACAACGTAAAAAGGGTGAAAACAAATATCATGTGTGTATGAATTGTTGAATCTCCCTGACATAAGGAAAGTTTCTAGCGTAATGACAAAGGTGATTCGAAAAATAAATTGATGAATTCCCTTATAAAAATTCTAACTTCACTACTAATAAGCGAGTCTTACAACAAACTTTGTAGGTCATATTCATACCCAATTTGTTGAAATTGCCAAATAATCATCAAATCTATGCCATGATGTTATCAAACTGGCATACATGAAAAATGGGCACCTCTTCCCTTTTAGACTTCTTTCCAAATTACTTTCTCATTTACTTTTATTAGTCCATTATTTACTTGACGCTCCCCTTAAAAAATTATTAATTAAGAATTTATTTTTCTATTTTACATATACTAATACTAGTAATTAAGAACCTGTCAGCAAAGCAATGACTAGGAAGTACGGGTACTTAATGATAATGGTAACATTGGAAGAAAATGATAAATGTCTCTTAATTTGCTAAAGTGACACCTAAAAGAAAAATATTAGTTTTAGTATACCGGAGTGAGTAATATGCTGGAATATTGGGTTTTTAATATTAAAATAATAATATATCATGATCTCTTATTATTTTCATTATTATCCCATGATCTTGAGAAGTGGTCATAAACTCTTAATTTTCATTAACCCATGTTCTCCATGATCTCATAATTTATTACCCAATTTTCTTCTAATTTATTCCAAGGAAGACTTCTTACAGCTATAAATAGGAGTATTTCTGTGGTAGAGTAGCGTATGAAAAATATTGTAGAGTGTATGAAAAAGTAAGTTGGTATAATTAAAAAGAGAGCTGAGAGAAGGAAATAATCTAAGTCTCCAATTTATTCACTACAAACAGTGGCGGAGCCACATACACCAAAGGAGTGTTAACCGACACCACTTTGCCGGAAAATTACACTGTAGAGCTAGGTAATTTAAAAAAAAATATATAAATATACTATATAATGACACCCCTTAACTTCTTGATTAGTTTATTTTTTTATGTTATGAATCCCCTTAATGAAAATCTTGGTTCCGCCACTGACTACAAAAGAGAATTTTATTTAGTTGAAGGAATATGTTATTTGTGGTGGAGTTTTGGAGTCAACAACTAGTCCAGAATTTGTACGAGTCATACGATATGGTCGGGGATAAACAAGTCAAGAAGATTACTGCTGGACCAGCGAAACTTTTGATGTAATGAAGAAAATGGAATATTTGTGCCTCAGCCTAAAGGATATTTTGATTTTCTTTGTTATTTTTTCAACTTCACTTATAAATTCACCTAACATAATATCATATCATAGCTTCAATGGATAGACTACATATACAGAGGAGTGTAGCTATATATTATGATATGGTTATATATGGTATTTGGTCTTATCACTTATGTGATGCGTTGTGTCACGGGTGACCTGCTTCAACCCCACCCCCCACACACACAACCCCCCTCACGATATGAAAATATACTCCAATTTCCTGCATATCCACTCTGCATTGAATTCCATAGGTAATTAAATAGTGTTAATGCAGTGCATTAAAGACGCCTTTGATTTCCCAAAATATTTGGAAAAAAAAACCTTTCAATTTTCGGTTGAAAAATTATCACGATCCGAAATTTTCCACCGATGGGACCGTAATGGCGCTTAACATTTCACTTGCCAGGCAAGCCAACGTTAGAGAATCATTAAACCAATTTCTTATTTTCATTCAGTAAATAACAATAATTAACTAAGATGAAATATAATAAGTGCGGAATATCATAAAACTGTATTAATTATTACCACCCAGATCTGGAGTCACAATTCACGAGCATTCTAGAATTTGCTACAAGTAATAGTCAGAAAGAAATACAACTGTCTGAATGAAAGAACCAGTAGAACAGAAAAGATAGACGGGGACTTCAAGGTCTGTGAACGCCGACAGATCTACCTTGAGTCTCCGAACATCGGACCAATAGCAAAATCTCGATTTACCTGAGCCAGTATCAAAATCTGCACACAAAGTGCAGAGTACAATATTAGTACAACCGACCTCATGTACTGGTAAGTGTCGAGCCTAACCTCGACGAAATAGTGACGAGGCTAGGACAAGGCACCTACAAATCAACATGTACAATTTAATAGTGTATATGCAAATAACAGAAATGAAGAACTAAACAGGAAATGTCGGGAGAGGAACATACTGTGGGGAATACAAGATAAAGAACTACAACAGAATGATCACCGGAGCAGTCAATATACCATGAATCAACAGGAATAGTGAATACAGCAAGGAAAAATGCACGGCATCACCCTTCGTGCTTTTACTTTCAATCTCACCATAAAATTAATAGAAACAACACGGCATCACTCTTCGTGCATTAACTCTCATCTCATGGAACGGCATCACCCTTCGTGCATTAACACTCACAATATGACACGACATCACCCTTCGTGCATTAACACTCACAATATGGCACGGCATCACCCTTCGTGCATTAACATTCTCCCTTACCATAATGCAATGCATAAATAACAACAGGAAGATAGAATAACAAGTACAAACCTTACTTCAACATTTGGTTCCATAATATCAATCTCAACTTTGAAATATAAACTCAATTATCATTAGAAAATCCGTAAACATGATAATGACGATCAATTTAACAACACTAGTATAACACATAGCAATTAGGCATGGGAATGAGACAATATAAGAAAACGAAA